AAAAAATCCCCTAGTTGGATTAGCCCATTCCGACTAGGGAAGAAGTTATTTTTTTTTGAATTTTGTTTTTCATTTCAAATTACTTAGGGTTCGAAAAATGAAAAATTCCGACGACGGAATTTATTTTTTTTTCGAATTTTGTTTTTGATTTTGAGTTCCAAAAAAAAGAGTGTTAGGGCTAAATTATATCAATTCGAAATTTAATTTTTTTTTAGATTCATGACATATTTTTTAAAATGAAAACTTAGCATTATGATTTTTTTAGTAAGAAAACAATTGATTGCTTTAAATTGTTTTTTAATACATTAGTATTGTGAATTTTGTTTTAATTGCAATTTTTTTAATTTTAAATGCAATTTTGATTTACTCCATTTGTCTAATTAGATAAAAATTTCGTTTTGTTTTAAGTGAATTTTTTTTGTAATTTTAATGGAAGAGAACAAAACAAATGTAGTTTTCAATATAATTTATTAATGAATAGACGGTACATACAATATGAAATGTAATACTACATCTAATGTTACGCGCTCGGCCCCTGCTCCATCCCCACCGCCAGTGTTCCAAGGCTCCGTTGTGTCTCCATAGTAAAAAGACGAATTCAGAAATGACTCAACATAATCATCCGGTTGTGTGGACCACTGATAAGAATCATAATACGGCGGTGGTTGATCAAATGACCCACCTCGATGCGTTGAGAATTGAGGGGGTGGTTGATCAAATGAGACACCCTGTGTTGAGAATTGAGGGGGCGCTTGTGAGTCCTCACCCCCATCTTCACGTTCATCTGAATCATCCTCCTCGTCACTTCCACCTGTATCTTCATCTTCATAGTGGAATATGCCCAGGTGGAGCATATCTTCATCACCTACATCCAGGGCCATCTGCCGTAGTCGTTTTTGACAATCCTCGTAACTCGCGCGGTCGGCTAAGAGCTGATACACCTCGTGAACGCCTTGCTTCTACATAAAAATGTAACACGTGTAAATAATACGATTGTGGGAAACCAAATAAGATTCCCTGACACGAGTGGGGCAAGAATACGATTGTACCCGGCAAAGGAGCATTCGGAATGTCTTGCCTTATACCGAACTGCCGAAGAAATCGATCCGGGTAATGCATTTCGGCCATATTGCAAAATATGAGCATGACTCTAGCCGACCAAAGCGGAGCATCATTAAGGATGAGAGGCGGGAGCATCTCAGACGCGTAGGGAGTGAAATCAAACTGTAAAAAGTTTAATTTGCAATTTAAAAACTATAAAAAAATAGTGTGTTTTAACGCTGAATAGTACGGTTGAAGTAAAAATTTCATGTACTACCTGACTCTCAGTCATGCGGTCTAGGTCATCCCGGTACAAGCGTATGCAATGTCTTGGGGATCCCTTATATGACTTGGGGACGATCCACCTACATTTATTGATTACCGATATGAAGTTAAAAAATGTAACGTCATGTAAAACATTCTCAATTATTAAGATGTAATTGACAACATACTTGCACCCATATGGAAGATGTCCATGTTGAATGAATCTAAAAAAAAAATATGTCATGAATCTAAAAAAAAAAATTAAATTTCGAATTGATATAATTTAGCCCTAACACTTTTTTTTTTGGAACTCAAAATCAAAAACAAAATTCCAAAAAAAAAAATAAATTCCGTCGTCGGAATTTTTCATTTTTCGAACCCTAAGTAATTTGAAATGAAAAACAAAATTCAAAAAAAAAAAATAACTTCTTCCCTAGTCGGAATGGGCTAATCCGACTAGGGGATTTTTTCCTTTTGCCCACCTATCCAATTCGAAATGAAAAAGAAAAAATAAAAAAAAAAAAATTTTTCCCTAGTCGGAATTGGGTAATCCGACTAGGGATTTTTTTACTTTTTCCGAAAGCCTACTCTCCAGTCGGAATTGGGAATTCCGACTCCCGTTATTTGGTAAACCCTAGCTAAATCCCCGTGTTTTGGCAACCCCAACCCCCTTTCCCCGTGTTTTGGTAAATCACCCGAGATGAGGAGTATTTAATTTGACCATATCAAAATTAACATAACTCATTTTTATACTCATTTCGTCCCATTTTATTTGTCTTACTTTCCTTTTTATGTTGTCCCATAATAAGTGTAACATTTCTTTTTTTGAAAAGAAATATGTGGCCCAAAACATTTCACTTTATTATACTCAAATCTCAATCACAACTTTTACCTTTTTAACCACTTTATTAATAATCGTGCCAAAGTCAAAGGAGACACATAAAATGAGACGGAGGTAGTGGTATATTTCAAATACTCGCTCCGTCTTAATGGACTTTGTATAATCAAAGAAATAAAAATAGTAAAAATTGTGTGGTTAAAGTTTATGTAGATGAGAGACAAATGAGCAGAACCACAAAATAGTTATTTCAATGGAAAAGTGACATTTTTTTGTGACAACTGAAAAGGAAAAATTGTCAAAGTAATGACACAAAGAGAAGTTTTCAATCAACTTTGCAAATTATAAGGGATAGGAAAGTAGGTTAATAGTAATAGGGCCGGTCCTGTCCATTTCTGGGCCTATGGGCGGTACGCTATTTTAGGCTTATATATATATATATATATATATATATATATATATATATATATATATATATATAGGGAGCGGTTCCAGTAAGAACAGATCTTAGGAGAAAAATGAGAACGAATCTGGACCGTTGGATTGTATTATGTGGAACCAAATTGTGCATTTGGTAAAACTGAAATGTGCATTAAATGATATTGAAATGTGCAAAACAAAAATTTAAACTCAAGTGTGCATTAGATGAAACTGATATGTGCGAAAAAAAAGTACAAAAATAACATCACATCGTACTTTTTATTGTGCACATTTCAGCTTCAAATAGTGCACATTTCAATTTCACGTAATGCACAATTCAACTGCACATAATGCCACTCTATCGTACCCTTTGTGATGCACATTTCAATTTCACCTAATGCACATTACAGTTTCATCTAATGCACACTGAATTTCACTTGAAGCAAATCTAACGGTCCAGATTCGTTCTCATTTCTCTCATAAGATCGTGTTCTTATTTGAACCAAAACCTATATATATATATATATATATATATATATATATATATATATATATATATATATATATATATATATATATATATATATATATATATATATATATATATTCACGACAAATAGTAAACCATATACTTATTTGAAATACTCCCTCCATCCCGTTGGAATGTTCCCGCTTTCCTTATTTGGATGTCCCAAAAAGAAGTTCTCATTTTCCTAAATGGAAAGTTATCCTACATCAAAATAGTGTCAAACAGTGCAAAACAGTGCCAAACAGTGTCCAAACAGCGTCCAAACGGTGTCAAAACAATAAAATTTACCCCCTAATAAGTTTATTTCCTTAATATGTGTGTAGGTCAAACCGGGAACATTCCAACGGGACGGAGGGAGTATAAATTATAATAAAAGTATCCAATGAAGTTCATAAAATAAAGGCATGAATCACTTGATTATTATTTTAGTTACATATTTGAGCAAAAGTAACAACACGAGTTTGGAATAAAAAGAAAAGACATTACTTAAAAATGTTTCTCATAGAACAATGCGAAGCAAATCATGGAAAATTGCTTCAGAGACAACCTTCTTTCCACTAATAAATATGACAAGCAATTAAGTTGCCACATATAAAAACGCTAAACTTTCTTTTGAAAGGATAAATGAAAAGAAATTTTACTGCATATTGAATTCATAAGTTGAGAATGATTTATTGACCGCTAATGAGAGTCTAAAGTTTGAAGTTTCGAAAGAATGAAGGGTTTTAAGGAGAAAAATGTTTGGTTGCCAAGAAGATTCGCGCAAGAAGAGTGGAAATTTTACGTCATCTAAAACTACGATTAGGAACTCAGATTTAGTTTATTGAAATTTGGAAACAAATAAATAATTGGAATGAGATTTGAGAGACACAGGTTCTAAAATAATTATATAAATTTGTTATGTTATAATTAAAATGAATAAAAACCTTTAAGGCCAAAGAGATGTGAAGACTGGAGAGACATGCCTTTTATTGATGAAGCAACAATTGTATTGCTTTTATAAACTACAACTGATCCTACTTAAAATTAATGTATATATTCTTTCTTAAACTTGGCTATGTTTAAGATTCTTTATTTATGTTTTAAATTTTCAAATTGTCAACAAAATTAAACGTTAAGCCTAATTAATTGAACATAAGAATAAAAAATAAGCATACTCAAACTATATATAAAGAAAAAAATCTTGGACCTATTTTTTCTTCTATTTTTTCAGGTATAGGGCGGTCGCCCCTGTTGCACCCCTCTTAGAACCGGCCATGGCCCTGTTGCACCCCTCTTAGAACCGGCCATGAATAGTAAGCATGTTGTAGAAGTTAGCTAATCGTATGCGTTATAAATTTGTGTCAACAGAAATCCTCTATTGAATCCTCACCCCAAGAGTGTTCTACGCCCTTAGTCGCCCTGACCCGAAAAGTATTTGGTAAGTTGTAAGCTACGTTGACTAAGTGTGCTGAATAGTTGTGGATCATGTACCTATGCACATCAGGAGTCCAACCCAACACACATGAGTTGTAACCTTCACACAGTCGTCACGAGTTTCAATCAATGGTCAATTCTCAACTTTTTCAGCACCCAATCAGTTGAGTTACATCTAGTTGTAGAGTTAAGTAAAATAAAAGTAAATCAGTATTAGCCACTAGCTATGCAGTACTTTCTCTAAAAGTAAAATAAAAGTAAATCAGTATTAGCCACTAGCTATGCAGTACTTTCTCTAAAAATGAGAAGATTGTTTTTGAAAAAGGTAAGTGAAAAAAATGTGAGGACAAATATTTTCTAACACAAAAACGCAATTATCAAAATCGGAAAACATGTGAGGGCCCAGCGGGCCACCCCCTATCCCCTAGTTCTATCTTCGCGTCGCCTATAATGGAGGAGCTTGGGAACTTTTGTTCATTCTTCTTTTTTGAGGTTGCCATCTCCGTATATAAATATCCTCCCATCCTTAACAGGTTTATTACGGAAAGTACTAGTATCATTTTCATCTCTTCCTGTTCACCTTTCTTCCATAGCACAGCAGCGCAGCAATATAATGGCGCCGCCACCGCCGCCGCATATTGTAATAGTCACGTACCCGGCGCAAGGGCACATCAACCCTTCACTCCAGTTCGCCCAGCGCCTCATCTGCATGGGCATACACGTCACCCTCTCCACCACCGTCTTCGCCCACCGCTTAATGCTCAAAGCCAACGCCGCCGGCGTCCCCCGCGTCGCCGGCTTCACCATCACCCCTTTCTCCGACGGCTACGACGAGCACGGCTTCAGAATGAACCACGACGACATGAACCAATACTTGTCCGATCTCAGGACCCGAGGTTCCCAGGCTGTGAGAGACATCGTCTCCGGCTGCGCCTCCGTCGGCCGCCCCGTCACGGCGGTCGTCCGGACTATCCTGCTCCCCTGGGTTGGCGACGTGGCGCGTGAGCTCAAAGTCCCGACCGCCCTCCTCTGGATTCAACCCGCCGCCGTCTTGGGGATTTACTACCACTATTTCCACGGGTACAAGGACGCCATATTGGAAAAGGAGGTGGTTGAGCTGCCGGGGCTGCCGCCGCTTTCAAGGGCCGATCTCCCGTCGTTCTTTTTGCCCTCCGGCTCCGACGGAGATTATAGTTTCGCTCTGCCCACCTTCAAAGAGGAACTGGAAAAGCTAGACGAGCTCCAACCCAGTGATCAGACGCTACTGGTCAACACGTTCGACGCCTTAGAGGCGGAGACACTGAAGGCCGTTGAGATAAGGTACCGTACTATCATTGCCGGTTGCAGTGCTAATATGCGCTCCAATCATTGATTTTATAGAATAAAAAATTTACAAATTTGGAAGTAATTACTTCTTGGGAATAAAAAAACATACTCCCTCGTAACATTCATATCTTCCCACTTTCCTTTTTTGGACGTAACATTTATATCTTTCCATTTCTAAATCTTCCCATCATACCCTCAATAATTTAAAAAGTAATACACTACTACACCTACTTTTTTCGGATTTATCCTTCATTCCATCATATTATTTCACCATCTTCCCATCATATCCTCAATAATTCATACCCCATTTCACTATTCTTAATCTCACCCACTTTAGAAGTGAGAAGATATATGTGATACGGAGGGAGTAACAATCATATTTTGAAATTTTCAAACTGTTTTAAAAAGTGTTTGCAACTGCTTATGCTTAAAAAAAACACTTTTGGAGATGTAAGAAAAAAGTGATTAGTACGCACTAGTAAAAGTTGACAGTGTTTTAGAAAAAAGTGATTTTGAAAGGTAAAAGTTGATAGTGTCTGGTAAAATAAGTGCTTTTCGTGTAATAGAAAAGGGAAAAACAACTTTCACACGGAAAAAATAAAAATTGACAGTGTTTGGTAAATAAGTGCTTTTAAGCCAAAAGTTGAGAAGTGCTTTTTTTAAGTTGTTGCAAACACTCTCTTAGTCCTATTTCGGGAACTTTCCCCAAAGAGAATAGAAATTGCCCGCCGTAACACTATTTCAATGGGAAAGTTCCCAAAATAGGATTAAAAGAGTTTGAAAATTCCAAAACAGGACCGTCATGTTATTATTCCCAAAATAGGAGTAACTACTGTCAAGTTCGGAAAATGCTGTCATGTTTTAAGTCTGATACTTCCAAAACATGACAGTATTTAGTCCTATTTTGGGAATAAAAACATGGGAGACCTATTTTGGAATTTTTAAACCTTTTTAGTCTATTTCGGGTAATACCAGTATTCTCTATTTAAAATCTTAAAGAGGACTTTTATGTTTTTATTGTGAAGTTTTGTATTATCAAACTTTAAACATGATAGTTTCTGTTAAGTTTGGAAAAAACTTGACATAAATTACTCCGATTTATAGAATAAAAACGCAACAATCCTATTTTAGAATTTCAAATCTTTTTTACTCGTATTCAGAGGTTTTTACCTTCTTTAGAAAAAGGAGAATTCCTTAAATAGGACTAGCTTTCCCATTCTACCCTGCCTTCTTTTAATACAATTCATATTTTACTAATAATTAAAACATAAAAGGAATAATATAATTTTATACGAAGTATATAATAAAATATAAAAAAATAAAAAACACAAAATAAATATTAAATAAAATTAATAGAAATAAAAAATTCAAAAAATAAAAAATTGTAAAATAAAAAACTTTAAAAAATAAATAAAAAATTTTAAAAAGTAAAAAAAAAGGGCTATGCTGCCGCGGTGCTGCCTCAATAACCTACTAGCACCACTAGCTCCGTTTTATTTAAATAGGACTAAATGTTACATTTTCATCTCTAATTTAATTAATTATAATATAATTAGTTGTCCCCTAGTTTCATGTAGGGGTAGGATCGGTTCGGTCTAGGTCGGGTTTTTGCTAAACCCGGAAATTACTCGGAAGGTCTCGGGTTATGAAAATTAGGGACCGGAACAAAGCCCATTATATTCGGTCCGAGTCGGGTTTTTGGTATCCCGGGTTCGGTCCGAGTTCGGGTTGGACCGGTTAAAGCCCGGACGTGAAATATGTCATTGTTCTTTTATATTTTAACACTTATTGTCAAATAAAATTAATCAAAAATACAAACCGCAAATAATAACACAAATATTAGTTTCCAAAATGACCAACAATTCAAATTTAAAGAAGATAATTCTCTTAATATTTTATGTAAGAATGTAAGATGTATATATATAAATAATATATGTTTCTTAAAAATATTATGAAATAAATTTTATAAATAAAAAATTTACTTGCTATATATATATATATATATTCTCATGGTCATCATTATTATGCTAAACAAATTCAACATATTTGTAGTCACTAAAAGTTACTAAATCTTTTTTTATTCACCGTGATTATAATCATATATTAGGAAATATTTTATTTATATTCATATACTATATTAATTTTATATGAAAACTAATTGTTTTGGATTTTTTCGGTCCGGGACGGGTTATAGATTTTAAGGTCCGTTAATGAGCCTAGAATTTTCGGTTCGGTCCGATTTTTTTTAATTCGGGCCGGTTAAAAAGAAAAAACTCGGACCGGGATCATAATTCGGGTCGGTCCAGGGTTGGTTTCCGGGTTTCGGTTGGGTTTTTCCCTATGTATATATAACATATTAACATAGGTCAATCTTTTGGTGGCGGATGAGTTCACTGGTGCCCACAATGAACTTGAGCAGGGGAGACTACGATTGCGAGATTTTGATAGATTAGTGGGAGTTCTATTTTGTTCACCCCTTCATGGAGGGTGAACATCACCCCCCTCCCTCCAACACATGACACTTGGCAAGACTTTTAAATTTTATAAGGATAATGCCAAGTGTCATGTGTTAGAGGGAGAGGGTGATGTTCACCCTCCATGAAGGGGTGAACAAAGTAGAACTCGATTAGTGGGGGTGACCTCGATTGGATTGGATTCTAATTATGGAGAGCAAAGTCAACCTTAACTATTATCAACACAAATGATACTTTTGAAAATGTTGTCTATAATAATTTGATCAATCATGCAAGCATTACTATTACTAAATATTGTCGTCATTAGCCGAGGCTGTATCTCATCAATATACATACGTTTATGTATTTTAGTTTGTTATACTGAATTGAAATACTCACACAGTCTGATGGTGTACTACGTATTTATTTGGAAGCATAGTTGTACGGGTATAAATCAATTTCTGGTACATAATAAATTATGAATGTTTTTATTTTAATTGAAAATTTTCATTTGATTTGTTTGGTTATTAATTTCTATCCCATCAAGTCTCACTTTGTTGAAGTGTTATGATTTGAATTGATCTAATTTGATCAAAACTTCAATTGAGTACAACTAAAATTCTAAAAACATTTTAAATGCTCCGTTTTAAAAACTTTGTGATTATTGTGTTTTCGCTCATATATGATCATTTCATCAATGTTTCTGGTGGTTAAAATCATCGGAAGAGAACCACAAATGATCAAGAAATATTAGTCAAATATTTAAAGTTGATAAAGTGAAAAGACGCGAACTAAATATGGAATTAATGTAAAACTCAAATCACCAAAAGTGGAATTAATTCACGGAATGTTAATTTACACAAAAGTTCAAACACATAAATATAATTTCAAAGTGTGACCAAGAAAATATGTGTTTCATTTTCTTTATCTTTACATTACCAATCCTTAACAGGTACACTTTACTCGGCATTGGACCATTGATTCCGTTAGCTTTACACGACGGAGACGACCCTTCTGACACCGCATTTCGGGGCGATCTCTTCGAAAACAACGAAAACGACGATATCAAAAGGTGGCTGGGGTCACAGCGGAACGCATCCGTGGTGTACATATCATTTGGGAGCCTATTAAATCCTAGCAAACCCCAAAAGGAAGAGATCGCCAAAGCACTACTGGAGACAAAACAGCCCTTCCTGTGGGTGATAAGGAAGAAATCAGAAAATGAAGAAAAAGAAGAGCTAGATTGCAGGGAGGAGTTGGAAACACAGGGAAAAATAGTGGGGTGGTGCTCTCAAACGGAGGTGCTGAACCACCCGTCTCTCGGTTGCTTTATCACCCATTGCGGATGGAACTCGATGCTCGAAAGCATATGCTCCGGGGTGCCCGTGGTGGCGTTCCCCCACTGGACTGACCAGGGGACTAACGCCAAGCTTGTTCAAGACGTGTGGAAGACGGGCGTTCGCGTGGCAGCGGGGGCGAAGGACGAGGCCGGCGTTGAGGTTGTTGGGAGTGACGAATTTAAGAGGTGCATCGAGATTGTGATGGATGGTGGAGAGAAAAGTGACGAGTTGAGAAAGAATGCCAAAAAATGGCAATATTTAGCTAAGGAAGCAAGCAAGGAAGGCGGTTCTTCTCACATGAATCTCAAGTCATTTGCCGAGGAAGTAGTAAACCATCAATAAACCATCAAAACATTAGTTTGCCCATACCAATAAATTAAAGCAAAAATTGATTGTAATAATCCCAACTATTGGCGGTCCGCTTATAATAGTCCCAACTATCGATTATTTCAGAATAATCCCAACTTTAGGGTCCTTCCGTCAATAACAGTCCATGTAAATAAATTCATGTACTTTCTAAAGTAGATAAGAAGAGATATAGCAAGTAATCTCTATAAATAATCCCAACTTTTAATTTTTACGTTTAATTTCTATTTAAAAATCACTTTTATAGAAGGTAATATTTGGTCATGGATCATTATTGGCGGATGGTCCATATAGTTGGGATTATACAAAAATAATCAATAGTTGGGATTATTGTTAGCGGATTGGCAATAATTGAGATTATTGTTTTCCATTTTTCCTAAATTAAACTTTCAATAATTCAAATCAGTTATATATTCAAATCAGTCGTACGTATATGTTAGTGACTTAGTGGTGTTGTGGGGATTGATCTGTGTTTTGGAAATATTGGTGAATTGGTATGGGATATTGGTGATGCCATCAACATATTCATTACGCCCAAGTAGATTGAATTGGCAAATGGTAATATTGGGGCCGTTTGGAGCACCCAAAATGGGCTTATAAGTCTGAAAATACTAAGAGCCCGTTTGGAGAACTCTGTTTTCGGCTTATCAGGCTTATCAGCCAGCTTTTTCACCAAACACGTAATTTTTACTTTCGCGCGCTGAATTGTGTAATAAGCCGAAAAAGTAAGGTTGGAGTTACTTTTCTGGCTGTATTGGCTGAAGTTACTGTAGAGGACCATTTTAGCTATTTTTACATATAATTTTTTCTTTAATTTATTAATAAAATATATTTTTAAAATATTTTTTTCTTAAATCAGCAGAATCAGCCAAAACAGCCACTCCAGCCAGAATATCATAAATTTCAGCAGAATCAGCCAAAACAGCCGATTTTGGTGCTACCAAACGGGCTCTAAAAAAGTTACCAAACACTTAATGGATGGGCTATTTGAGCTGCTTTTTATGATCAGCTGAAAAAGGAAGGATATGGTTACTTCTTCCGCTGCTTTTTATTATTGTACTGTGACAAATTGAAAAGACTCTTTACCCTAGTGTATTGCTGCTTAGTTCCGAAGAGGTTGAAGGTTGATGATGCTCCAATAAATACTTCGTTCCTTTTTTTTCAAGGAAAAATTGATAGGAATAATCCCAACTATTGGTGGTCCGCCCATAATAATCCCAACTATCGATTATTTTAGAATAATCCCAACTTTAGGGACCTTCCGCCAATAGTGGTCCATATAAATAAATTCATGTAGTTTCTAAAGTGGATGAGGAGTGATATAGCAAGTAATCCCTATACATAATCTCAACTTTTAATTTTTACACTTAATTTCTATTTAAAATTCACTTTTTGTAGGAGGTAATATATGACCATGGACCATTATTGGCGGACGATCCATATAATTGGGATTATACAAAAATAATAAATAGTTGGGATTATTATCAGCGGACCGGCAATAGTTGGGATTATTATTTTCAATTTTTCCTTTTTTCAATTCAAGTGAATGATTGCACGTGAACTTTTTAATGCTCCAAATGCTTTATTAAAATTATATACTCCAGTAATAATGAACACCATTCAAAAAAAAAATACAAAATGTACTCATATTATTTACAAAAAAAAATTATAATAATGTTGCTCATATTCCAAAAAAAATGTGTAAAAATCCGAGGCAGTACGTGAAATTATTAAAGCAATCTTATAATTACCTAATCAAGCAAAATTAATTTACTAGCAAAGTTTACATACACTCCATATATTTAACACAAAAAACTAATACCTTTTACAGTAATTTTACACTCAATCAGCCATTTCAGCCAACATATCACCAAAGACTTTCACTTCAGCACATTCAGCCTATTCAGCCTTATCAGCCGTTGCAGCCGTTACCAAACAGGCCCATTGTTTTTCAAAATTTAGAATAATAGCTAACACACCAAACTATTAAATCTTTGAATCTTGAAAAATAAAAGTAAAAAGTAGGAATACATATAGTGTTCAAAAATAAAAATAAGAAGGTTTTGTCCAAATTATTTATGAATGGTGGTTTGTTTCATAGTTTGTTTTTGTGATAATTATCCTATGTATGACTAAAACCTCTTCACTTTCTCAATCTATGACCTAACTAATTTTTTTTTACCAAAATAATACCTAAAATCATTATATTTAATTAAAATTTGTAATTAATAATTAATTTAGATGGACAAATATACCCTTTAGTTTACATCTATAAAACCCCAACCTCCTACCCATTTTCTACAACCCTAGATACAACCTCCCACCACCTGTACGAGCAGCCACCACAACGTCCAGCCGCTCCGCCGTCCATCCACCCAGCCGTCCATCTGCTGCCGCCCAGCGCCGCCTCCTTCCAAGAGCTCTAGCCCTGGAGCACACGCGCCAACCCAGAACTCTGGCCTGGAGCAAGTGTTCACCCGACCTGACTGCCAAGTCATCGTTCGAAGCCAATCTGCTGCCCGCCGCTCGCCATACAACCTCCGTCCACAGACATCCAGTCTGGAAGCAAAGCCGCCGTCCCAAGGATTCTATGTCTCCAGCGTGACAAACGAGCCGTACAGATCTAAGCGCCGTCGTCCAGATCTGGCAAACAAGGCGTGGCAAACGAGCCGTGCAGATCGTCCAATAGCTTCCTCTACGTCTTCTTCGTCCGCCATCCGCGTCGTCATCCCACTTTAAAGAATCTATCAATCTTCAATTTTAATTTAGAATCGTACTTTAAGGGGGGAAAAGTTAAAGCTTATTTTAAAATAGAGTGGGGTCGATTTAGGCTCCTACCCATCCACTGGCCGTGCTAGGAGGTACTAGGAGGCTAGGAGGCTAAGAGGGTTATAATAAATCACTTTTCTAGTTTTGGATTCTTGTTGAATGATTCATTATTTAAATTCCGAATTGAGTTAATTTGTTCAGAAAGTTGTCTTTTTTGTTTGTTAGACAAGAGGTTTGAAAAAGTTTGTTGAATGGGTGTTGCTACGCGCACCACCAAAATGCTTAATCTAACCCTCATTAGACACATTTGCCCTTATTAATTATATATATACTTCGTATACTATAAGAGCTGCTCCCAACGCTCAAGTGCTCAACACCCTCAAGCATTTTTTTAAATGGGTGACGGTAAAAATTCTAATCCTTTTAAAAAATATTAAATAAATTTTAAATTATGTGTTATTATTAAATAAGTTATTATTTACTCCTATTTGCTTTCATACATTCTTTCAATGATATATCAAGATTAAATATTTAAAAATATAAATATATTTTGAAATCAAAAAAATAGAACCCAGATACTACTTCCGTCCCAAATTGTTTTGCAAAGCACATATTCTTTATTAACCAATAGTAAAATTAAATTCTCCCTGTTGATAATTAATTCAATTTTAATAATTAAAATTTACGTATTTAGAAACTATATTAAAATCTCTACAAAATTGTAAAATCGAAATTAATATTGAATTATAAATGATTCTAATTAAGTAAATAAAATGAATATGTGTGACTCAAGCAACTCAATTTGGGGGAGGGAGAGGGAGTATAAAAATTGCATTAGTTGTTTATTACATGTTTGGTGACTCTTTTGGTGACTCTTTTTTTCGGCTTATCAGCCAACTTTTTAACCAAATACACAACTTTTGATTTTGCACGCTGAATTGTGTAAAAATAAACAAAATTAAGGTTTGAAGTTACTTTTTTGGCTGTTTTGGCTGAAGTTACGATAGATGACTATTTTAGTTATTTTTTTATAATTTTATCTTTATTTTGTTAATAGAATGCTTTCTCCGTTCTTAAATAAATGCATACAGCGATCAACTTTTCACATTTGCCGATGAACAACTTCGATTAGTAAAAATTAAAAATATCAATAGAATCGACAGATTTCTTCGATTCCTAATGAGCTCTTAATTGTATTATTACTATTGTCCAATTCTGATCATGCCATTGTCATACGTGTAAAATTAAAATTCTAAACAACAAATGGGAAAATTGTCCATGCTTGTGACGTAACAAAAATTAAACAGGGATAAAGTTGTCCAACAAAAGCGAAAATGGGGTGCGCCAAGTATTATTTGCGGTGCGCGCAGCAGGGCCGTGGTTGAATTTAGGGTTTGGGAGCATTAAATATGAGCATTGAACATTAGCATTAAACATGACAATAGATATGACAATAAATATGTTGTATATGATAGTGATCAATAAATGCATTAAGGAAGTTAGTTGTGCAGTGATTATGACCCGTAATGCAGTAACATATAGCAATAATTAGACGTAAAATAATGAAATTATCAAATCTGAAAAATAAATACTACCTAAAACAAATTGCTAAAATGAGTGAGAAGACAATTACTTTTGGCGGAAGTGCAGTAAATATTACCGCATGTGTAGTAATGTTGTGAAGTAATGTCGTGCATTAACGGCAATATAAAATGCAGTAATTTTAATTAGACGAAATTAGTGTAAAATACACATATTTTAAATAAGGGTATTTTTGTCATTCAACATTCAAATATAAACGAAATTGTCTTTTTTATGGATTTTCGGTCATAGAAAAGTGTAAAAACATAGTTAGTCATATTTAGAGAAACTTAATGAGTTTTAGTCATATCCCGGTAAATTTCCCTTTGTTTTTTAAGTTTTATACTAGAATAGCAATGAAATTTCTCTAATATACATACCTTCATCACAAACTACTGGAATGAAATTAGTATCTTAAATTTACATCTTCATGGGTGTGTTCAAATAAGGCATTTCGTCTCACTTCTAAATGAATAAATTTTTGTTGAACAGAACAGCATAAAAACTTGGTAAAGTATCTATTAGGTTCTTGCATGAACTTCGATCTGACTAATCATAATTGAAGTGCAGCTGATGCATAAGTAGATATTGTCATAATGGAACTCGATTGCCCTTATGCCCTATAAATCTTCACTTGATGATGCTTTGGATATGTATTTTAAGGTCTATAATTTTGGATATCTATTTTAAGGTCTATAATTTTGGATATCTATGAATAAGTTTACCCCCATATAGAACCAGTGCGATAGCCTTTTCTGCTGTAAGTATATGCAAGTATATATATTTCATCCTAAGTATTGTAGAGATATTCCACCTTCTTTCTTGGAAGTTGCCAAGAGGCATCTATCACCTTCTTGGAAGGAGGTCTTCAACATATGAGAATGGGAGAAGATATGGAGATAACCATGGAAGCTTGGATGCAACTTCCTCTTGTCTCCAAACAGCCCTATTAATAGAGTGTTCTATTGTTGTTCATAGTATCAGTTTAGAAAGTGAGAAAAGTGTAGGAAGAGTGAAATACACTTGGTGTAGAAGTGTATTGGTGAGGATTGCTTTTTGGAATAGTTGAGTGTGAGAGTTTGCTCCTCCTATTGTAATTCTGTTCTTGATATTGAATAGAAGAATTTTCCAATCCCAACAAGTGGTTTCAGAGCGAGGTTGAGTTTTCATACACTGTTTTCTCATTTTCAGATAAATTTCTACACGTTAGAAAATCGTGATTTTTCAAGTTGCTCGGAATCACGATCTGATCATACCGTTAGATTCGTCTCTTCGAGACGAGAAATCTGGTATTTTTGGGGAATTTTTTGGCCACCGGAAGAGGCCGTACGCGCCGCCCAAACACCGCCTGAAACTGCCTGCATCATCACTGCGTCATCACGCAGTCGAGAGGAAGAAGACGAGCCACGTCGTCGCCATGTCAGCGCCACGTGGCGCCACGTCAGCGCCAGCGCAGAGCCAGCTGTTGCCACGTCATCCGCCTGCTGGTCTGCTCACTGGGTTGCTGCCTGAACCGGAACGAACCGGTTCGTGCTTGTGGAGGCCGGTTCACCCATTTTCAGACCGGTTTTGGACGAGATCAGACCAGTTACCACCATTTTCGGCCATTTCGGATCCAACGGTGAGCTCCGTTTGTCCAAATTCGGCTTCGAAAATAAGGTATGAGATATTTTGAGCGTTTTATTATGGATAAATAATCATCGGACACCATGATTGCGCTCACTTCCACAAATTACAATATGTGGAAGCCTCGGATGGATGATTTGCTAAATTTGAGGGATTTAGCTGATCCTCTTGATAATAATGGCGTGAAACCGGATAAAAAGACGGATGAAGAATGGACAAAAATGAATAGAAAAACTGTCGCACAAATTCGACAGTGGATAGATCATAGTGTGTTCCACCATGTTGCGCAAGAACAAAGTGCTTACACACTATGGGAGAAGCTTGGTAGCATGTATCAAGTAAAAACCGCCTGAAATAAGATGTTACTAATGAGGAGATTAGTAAACCACAAGTTACGAGGAGGTATTTCGGTGTCAGAACACACCAGTCAATTCCAGGATCTTGTGAATCGGTTGAGCACCATAGGATGGGTTCTCAAAGATGAAGAGCAGGCGATACTACTCTTGAGCTCTCTACCTGACAGCTGGGAGACTCTTGTTGTCACTCTCAGCAATTCTGCTCCCAATGGCAAAGTGACTATGCAGATGGTCACAGATGCCCTTATGAACGAAGAAGCCCGAAGAAAAGAAGCCGGGACTGAACAATCATATGCCTTCGTGTCAGAAACCAGCAGACGAGGGGGAGGCAGAAATGGAGGAAGAAGCCGAGGTCGAGGTCGAGGCCAAGGTCAAAATAGAGGAAATTCTCAAGTTCGCGGCAGATCACAAGAGAGAGGTATGTCCTTTGAAAACAGTACTTGGTTTGAAGGATATTGCAATTACTGTAGTAATTATGCGCACAGAAAAAGAGATTGTAGAAAGTTTTTACGAGAGCAGCCACAGACGAGTCAAAATACTAGCCAAGAAGATGGTGAGACCATGGTTAGTTTGTCATCAGACGTGTGTCTTGTTACACATGGTAACAAGAATGTTTACACGTAGGTACTCATAATGTTGAGTG